AAAAAAAAAAAAAAAAAGTGAACCTTAAAAGTTTGATAAACTGATTCTGAAATCTCAAACCAGTTTTTTTCAAGTAAGCTACAAACTGGTTAGAAATATTGAAAATCCATGTACAATTAGAGTAAGGAACCCATTGATGCTGAGTTATTAGTGCCATCCAAAAGCATGTGAGTTTCCTGCCGGGAACAGACTATGCTGCTAGAGTGTGGCGCCATCCACACTTGAGTCCCCGTCTGCAGGCTGGCACCCTCCCCGTTTTGCTCCCTTCCTCTGCATTTAGTTGATTAGCCTTTCTTAAACAAAAAATCCTCAAGACACTTTAAAAAAGACCAAGATTAGTCTGTATTTCATGTCTCTGTATTTCAAGCACTTGGTTGTATTCCTAAGAAGGAAAAATGGCGTAAGTGATGCAGAGAATGAAGCGTGGAAGAGGAAGCAGTGCCCGAGCCTACGCCTCCATCTTCCTCTTCTGATCTCTGCTCAGCATGCGTTACTTCTCTTCGGCGAGTGGGTGGGAGTCTGCCCAGGAATGTGCTGCGGCCAAGGAGAACCACCCCCACCCCCGAATGGTCCTGCTGCCTCCGTGGGCTGCGGACCCCAGACCCCAGCGGCCCAGGTGGCGGGGAGCTCGGGAGCTCGGGCCTGTCCCAACCTGGAAATGGGAGAGGGATGGGCACAGGAGGCCTTTCCAGCAAAGCTGCCCCAGTTCGGCCGTCCGCTCTTGCTTTCTGTCCGTTCTCAGAGTAACAGCCTCTCTGGGTCTTTTCTTCCCTCTTCTCGGAGAAGGAGCACAGGGCCACTTCCGCCACAGGAAAGCGCGGCACCGGATGCGGCCCAGGCCGCTGGGCTCACCCTGTGACGCTTCTTGGCTAAGGCATCGTTCAGGGTTTAAAATGGTTGTTTCAGATGAACAGAAGTCTAGCAATTTTTAAAAATCTGGCCTAAACTGATGATAAGAAATAATATATACTGATTTTCAAAAGTCACCTTAAGCAACAAAAACACCACCCGTAGGTCATACTGAAATGGATGGAGGTGCACATCAGTCATCCCAGCACCCAGGAGGCTGAGGCAGGAGGATCGCCATTGAGTTCAAGGCCAACATGGGCTACATAGTGAGTAAAAGGCTAGGCTGAACTACATAGAGAGACTTTGTCCTCCAAAAACAAAAAAAAAGGGAAAGAGATGGGGTGGCTTCCCTTAAGTACTCTTCCTTAAAGTCGCTCCCATGTGGACCAGGCACCCAGGGAGAGTGGGTGCTGACCACCGGCACCCTCTCCGCTACCCAGAGCCGTTGGGAAGAGGATGGCTGTCGGGCAGTTGGGACCCTGGTGGCAGCCCTGAGAAGTGGTCAGTCCAGAGGTCTGACTCGGAGACAGCGTTTGTAACCCTGTGCCTTAACTTCCCCAAGCCTCCATGCTCTGCCGCAGCTGGCACCTCGCTGTGACAATCAGACACAGACTGAGGCCTTCAGCACAGTTCAGGGAGGAGGAGTCCTTACTGCCGGCGCGCTGTGCCAGTTTCCTCCCTGTGCAGAGTGGCAGGAGCCCCGGGACGGGCAGCTGCCAGAGCAGGACCCCTGGGAAGCCAGCACAGCCCAGGCCAGGGCTCCCGGCCGAGAGGGTTCTGTCCATGGGACAGGACGCTGCCCGAGAGCACTCAGGGCCGGCCCAGCGGTGGTGGTGGGAGAGTCCGAGAAAAGCCTCCGGCTCAAGACCAGCATCACAGTCCCCTCTCACCATTTGGGGCCCCAGGGCAGGCGGCTGGGTCTCCACAGCCCAGCTGGGCGGAGAGCAGCAGCCTTGGGCGGGAACTGGGGAGTCCTGACTTTTTCCTCAGTGGACTGGACAAGGGTCCATTTTGCTCTATGTCTGCAGATACCAAAAACTGGAACCCTAAATGAAGGACACCCATAGCGGAATGAGCCCAGAGACAGGGACACTGAACCAGTGCTTTAGAAAACCAGATCTGCCTCATTCCCTGGGACCGCGGTCAAGGTTGAAAGCCACCTTCACATCGTCAGAGGTCTTTGGAAGCCAGCAGGGAGGACGTCTCCAGCACGGGAGGACATCTTGGCCGGCCCGCCTCTGCAGAGCACAGACAGAAGCGAGTTCGAGGGTCACCTTAACACGGGAGGACGGAGGCTGTGGGCTGGAAGACGGCTCGTGGGTGGGAGCCACTGCCGCAGGGAAGCACACGCCCGGCCTCTAGCTGGGCGCCTCCCTCCCTCCTCCAGGCCTGCCTGTCCCCATCTCAGATGTGTGCCCAGCCTGCGGCGGCCGGGTGCCAGGCCCGCTGTCAGTGAGTGGGAGGGAAGAACGGGCTCACCTCTTCTTCATCTCTCAGAGACGACGACATTGAACGGATGAGGGGCTGACGTGAGGCCGAATCTCCCCGTGAGGACGGGCTCCACAGCGTCCTCAGGCAGGGAGAATGTGAAGCTCTGCAGCAGGCTCACAAACATCAGGAACAGCTCCATCTTGGCCAGCTGCTCGCCCATGCACACCCGCTTCCCTGGAGAGGGAGAGATTCGGACATGGGCCCGCTTCCTACTTCAGAGAGTACAAATTCTTTGTTTGTTTTCTTTGGAGTCAGGGTCACCCTATGTAGTTCAGGCTGGCCTTGAACTCACTATGTAAGTCAGGCTGGCCTCCAACTCATGCGATCCTCCTGCCTCAGCCTCCCAAGTGCTGGGACGACCTGGCAGAAGGTACAAATTTATTTATTTATTTTTAAATTAATTTTATTGGTACATTTTAGGTATACAGTATAGTGACATTCATCACAGGAAATTTGTACTTTTATGTAATCTATCTTGGTAGAAGGTAGAAATTTATAATACAGGTAACTCGCCTAAATTGGGTGTTTTGAATGCAGATATAAATTTTAAAATAAAATTGCCATATAAACCAGTCTCCCACAGAGTATAATGGACAGAATTTTTCCACACGAAGTTCACATTTTCACTGCTACTCCTAAACACCTGTTCCCACCTGGGCAGGATCGACAGACAGGTCCAGGCTGACACAGACCCTGTCTAGTCCTTGCCTGCTTATCTTTCCTGGCTGTCACCTGGCAGAGCAAGGGGGGAGTCAGATTAGAATCTGTGGAGCCCTCCTTTTCCATAAAAGAATCCCATGTACCCCAGACTAGGGGCCTAAGAGGGACGCCGCGACTTGAGAGCCCTGCCGCACCAGCCCAGGGGAGGTCAGAAGTTGCTCCTTGCACCTTGGAACCCGACCGGAGCCCAGGGAGTCTGGTCGTCGCTTCCCTGTCCCTGTCCCTGTCCCTCCTCTGGGGAGCGAGCGCCAGGCCTTAAACACACTAGGCGTGCGCTCTACCACTGAGCTCTACCTCTAGCGCGCACTCTGCTCCCTGAGATGAACATAGGAGAAGCACATTATCTGAATGACTTACGTCTTCCATCAGCCGGCCAATACACAAACATTTTTACAACAACACGGAATAATTAGTGATTCTTTTAGTTCTGTGGTTTGCTCTTTTGGTGCATGCTAAGGACCAAGCCCAGGCCCTAGCCCAGGCCCTAGCCCAGGCCAGACGAGCACTCAACCACTGAGCAACACCCTACCCGTAGTTCTACTTCCTTAAAATCATGTTAACGAAAATATAAAGGTTTCACTGACCTATCCCAAAAGGAATAAAGGCTTCTGTTTTTAAAAGTTGTCCTTGGTCATCCAGAAATCGATTCGGGTGGAACTCGTCTGGTTTCTCCCACACAGCCGGGTCTCTGTGCACTGCCCACAGGTTGGGCAGGACCACCGTGCCCTTCGGGATGGTGTATCCTTGGAGCACTAAGGTGGACAAACACAGCATCACTTCTGCTGCTGACGTTCTCCCGAAATACCACTGTCAGGGAAACAGTCTAGTATCCTACTCGGCATCCTAATCCACAGTCCTCAGGACAGGGAGCCCCTTGGCTCTTGGCAACCTGGTCTATCTGGACCATCCCAGGACCAAGCCCGTGACAGGCACAGGGGCTCCGATGCTGCTGACTTAAGGCAAACCGTAAAAAAAGGGAAAACACTAAAACAAATAATAGGGCACTTCAAGAAATTCCCTAAGAATCGCAAACCCAAAGGCTCACATAAAGTATGACTGTTTCGAGCTGTCTATGCAGTAAGATGAGGGAGGTAAACAGAGAAGGGCGAAGAGGGAGGTCGACCTGGCTCTCCATCAGCTAAACAGTGCCTGAGGAGACACTGCACGCCATGGTGCATCCAACCTACACCCCGAGATGACAGTGACCCGTGTCCTCTCAAGCCCATCGCACCACAGCCATCCCCGGAGGGGCAAATCTTTCCTGATGGGGATTTGAAGACGATCTGGACAAGACCTGCCGAAGGGGTTCCACTGAAATGGTGACCCCAGAATCAGATCGGCTCCTAATTCTGTAATATTTATGCTTTGGTTGCAGAATGTAAGAAATTGAGGCAGGGTGATTTCCAGTGTGAAACTCCATTCCACGGTAAGACCAGCTCTTCTGACTCCAGTGAAGTGGACTACAGGTACCTTTGTTAACTCTGGAATTTTTTTTAACAATCCACCTGATTTAAATTTTAGCACTAGAGCCAGATGTGGTGGCAAAGGCCTGTAATTCCGGCACTCAGGAGGCTGCAGCAGGAGGAGCACTGTGAGTTTGAGGCCAGCCTGGGCTATATTGTGAATTCAAGGGCAGTCTGAACTACATAGTTGGACCCTGTCTCAAAAAACCACAAGTAAAATAAAATATGATAAAAGTAAAGCATTATTTGTTTTGCCAGTTTGAGCATGTATGCACTGTTGAGCTGTTACTGAAACTCAGTGGTCCTGGCCCAGCACTTCGCCTGACAGTGGACAACTCTCGGCCAGAATAGGCCCTGGAGATTCCAGGGTCTGTAACAGTGCCCCCCGCCTGCACATGTGCCCCTCTTGAGGGCACAGGATGCAGCCTGACTCACCTGTGTTCTCCGAGGTCATGTGTGGGATGGCCAGGGGCACCACCGCCGTCAACCTCTGCACCTCCATGATGGCGGCCTCCGTGTAGGGCATCCAGGCCTTGTCAGTCAAAGATGGGGCTCGGCTGGGCCCAATGACCCTCTCAATTTCTCCGTGCACCTTTTCTGTGTGAGAGGAAAGAAGGAACTCTTGAGATTCACCGTGGGGAGAGTTGTGTGTGCGTCCCACGTCCACCTGTTTTCCCCTTACCCGCCACCGACAGGCTGGCAGCATGAGATGTGTGTGGGTCAGTTGTGCCACCTGGGGCACAGAATGGGGCAGCAGAGAGGATGGGGCAGAAGAGGGCACTGGAGGCAGGAGCGCCTGGATCCCTCACGTGTGGACAGAAGAGAGGCCAGGTTGTGGCCCCAGATGGCCCTGGCCCTGCTCGTGGGGTTGGCTGCAGCTTGGGTCTGGAATGTCCCTGAGGCCCATGTGTGCCAAAGTCCTGTCCTGTGATTCTATTAAAATTGGTAGAAACACAGAGGAGGGGCCTCATGGCAGGTGAGGTCCTTGCGGTGCACCCTTGAAAAGGACAGTGGGACCGCGCCCTTTCCTTTCTCCTCTGTACCCTGGGCACAAGCGGAGCTTTGCTGTACCACACACCCTGGGCGTGATGGCGTGATGTGCTGCCTTGCACGGGCAAAACAGTGAGCAAGATGGAACAGCCCTCTTGATAAGGGGACTGCCTCAGGTGTTCTGCTACAGTAATGGAGTGCCGACTGACACAGGGTTTCTGTCCTGTGCATTCCCCTCTTGCTCTGTACCAAGATGAAGGGCGAAGTAATGCCATGTCACTGCTGAGATTAGGGGCCCTCCTCTTTGTCATTCATTCTCCAGTCGCTCACTTGTGGGGAAGGCAGCCACTGAGTCAGGCAGCCATGGCAAGGTCAGAGTGGAAGGAAGTGTGGCCTGTGGTCAACAGCATGAGGGAGCCAGCTTGGAAGGGGGTCCTCCAGTCCCAGTCCAGCATACAGATGGCTACAGCCCAGTCAACAACTTGACTAATCTCACGAGAAACCCCAGACTAGAATCATCCAGGTCAAGCCACTCCTGGATCCCTGGCCCTCAGAAGCCATGTGAAGTAATAAATATGGTATCTTAACCTGTTTATAGTGGGATAATCTGTTCTGTGGCAGTCGATAAAAGATGGCACAGTGCCGTCCATGGAGAATGGTGGCCTCTCCAAGATGTCCACACCTTAGTCCCCTGTAAACGGGATACCTCACCCGGGGTGGAACAGGGAAAAGAGGTTTCTGTACCTCACAGTGTGGAGGCTGAAAGTGCCTCTCGGGCAGCCCTGTCTGCTCAGCTTTGGGTGAGAGCCTGTGAGAGGGAGAGGTGGCGTGGCGAACGGGAAGCGGGAGGGGTTGGGGGCCAAGCTCACGCTTCTCACAGTGGCGCGCTGCATTCGACCCCAGCACTGTGCCAGAACACCTGGGGAGATGGCCCTCAGAGGAGGAAGTTTGTTCTGTTCAGTTTCACGCCTTGGTCCCTGGGCCTGGCCCTCTTGGTCAGTGGCAGGAAGAGCGAGGCAAGGGGCACACCGCACAACAAAGCTGTTCACTTGAGAAGCAGAGTGAGGGGCTGAGGCCACCCACACCTCACCGCCCTAAACGCACCTCATCTTGTCTGAGCTCGGAAGCTAAGCAGGACCAGGCCTGGCTCGTGCTTCAGTGGGAGAAAGGGCCAGGGTTCCGACAGTCCCTGTAAGGGACATACCCCCATGACCTATCTTCCTTCCGCCAGGCCGCGCCCTGCAAGTTCTGCCACCGTTCCTTCAGCTGGGCACCAAGCTGTCAATGCCTGAGCCTGTAAGGGACACTTAGAGCCAAGCCTCGGCAGCACTCCTTTGGGAATTAGCCAGGCTCCTAGGACAGCACCTCTGACGGGCCCACCCGGCTGTTGGGGCCACCTCCACCACACTGAGGCCAAGAGTCCCACACATCCCAGCCGCAGCACGCGATGAGACTGCAGTGCCGTGGCTGTGCCCAGCCTAAGTGCAGCCGCGTGTCACATTGACGTTTCAGTCAGAGACAGACCCCAGCATGGCCCTGGCTTCGTGAGAGCTGGTTGTCCTAGTGTACACTTTGACGTTCGCACAATGACAAGGTCACCCAACAACACAGACCTCAGAATTTATCACTGCTATCAGGCATCACGTGACTACCCAGCTGAGTTCAGAGCGGGGGGGGGGGCGGGCAGGGTGCAGAGGGACAGCCAGAGAGATGGTGTCGCGCCGGCTCTGAAGGTGCAGAGGGGCCACGGGCCAAGGACCTGGGATGGCAAGGAAACTGGTGTCCTCCAGGACTCCGGCGAGGGGCCCCTGTGGGACGCGGGGCAGACGTGTAACACCAGACTGTCAGAAAACAAGCTTGCGTGGTGTGAATCCGTGAAGTCCGCTGGAATTTGCTGTGGCAGCAATGGAAACGAACGCACCCTCCTCCCTGCCTTCCCCCTAACGGCCCTGGCGCTGCCTGGCCATCCTGCTGTGCTAGAACAAGGTATGCAGCCCCACAACCTCTCTGTGCTTCCGTTCTCCTCTTTCCAAACAATACGAACGGGTGCACACAGCATTAGGGCGCAGCTGAGGTGCCCCACTTTGCCAGCGGTCTTTCCTCACCACTGATTCAGACAATCAGACATGCACAAATCAAAGCAGGGGTGACCAAGTCAAGGCAGGAGTCCGCCCGTCTGCAGACCAGGTTGCACTGGCAGCTCCTTCCCAGGTCCCAAGTATTTGCTTTTGCGGCTGAGGACGCGCTTAGAGCTTGGGGCCATGAGACCCCTGAAGGTGCTAATCCCCATCTAAACAGCCTGGCTCTGCCCCGAACGAGGAACTCCTCCGCTATTTACCTTGGACATCGGGGTACAGGGACATGTACAGCAGGCACCAGAGCAGGGAGTTGGTTGTGGTGTCGGTCCCAGCGATGAAGAGGTCCCCGATGATGTAGAACAAGTAATCCTCGCTGAAGCTGCTGCTGCTGTCCCGCCTGCGCTCCTCCTCCGCGTGCAGGAGGTACATGTCGATGAAGTCCTGGGGGTTCTCGGCATCCAGAGAGTCCCTGTGGGCCTGGATGATCTGTCGCAGGAAAACGGTGATATCCTTTTGGATCTGTCTCAACTCCTTAAATGGCCCAAAGGGGAGGTAGTAGAGCCAGGGGCACACGTTGACCAAGAGGACCTGGCTGCTGAGGCAGATTTCCAGGCCCCGGGACATGAGGGCCAGCAGCTGCTTAAACTCCCTGTTGGTGTAGTCGAAGCGCTGGCCAAAGCACAAGGAGCAGATGACGTTGGAGACGGCGTTGCCGATGATGGGGGCTGGGTTGAAGGGGGAGTCCCCATGCCGCTGCATCTCCTGCTTCACGAACCTGAACTCCTCAATGATCCTGGGCTCCAGGCTCAGCTTGCCCAAGCCAAAGTGACGAAGAGTGGCGTGCGAGAACTTCCTCTGCTGTCGCCAGACAGGGCCGTAGTGTGCGAACACAACCCCTGCAGAAGGGCACCAACAAAGAGGGTGAGCCAGGCATGGTGGTGCTTCCTTGTAATCTCAGACTCAGGAGGCTGAGGCAGGAGAATGGCTGGGACTTCAAGACCAGCCTGAACTACATAGCGAGTTCAAGGCCAGCCCAGACTACACAGTGAGACCCTGTCTCAAAAAAAAACAAAAACAAAGTTAAAAATGAAGGGGAGAGAACACCGAGTGACCCTGACCAGGAAGCACACTGTGTGCCCCTCAAGTCCCTTCCAGCAGGCTCAGACCCAGTGACTACCAACCCAGAGGAAGGCTCAGCAAACGTGAGAACACAGAAGTGCAGTGAGATAACACCATCAAATCCAGGGAAACTAGAGAACGGGCTGGGAAGCTACCTCGATTGTCAGTATCTGCTGGTAAATGTAAATACCGAGCTTCAATGTGCGAGATGAGGGTGCAGAAACTGCCTTCAGTTTCCCAAGGGGGAAGCGAGGTTAGAAAACACTTCGGGCCAGACACACCCACACTCAAAACACGAGCACAAGGACAAGGACAGTAACAGACCAGCAGGAGGGCGGAAACAGGACCTATGCCTTCACAATCCCCGTTGTCGACAGTGCCGTGTACGCAGAGGTGACCGGTAACTATTAGCTGGATAAAATGAACTCCCCTACTGGGCTGGACCCACCAGCTCTCTGTCTGGAAGCTTGGCAAGTAATACATTATTGGTTCTTGGCAGCATCTGCAATTTAAAAGCATCTGAACTCAACCAGGCATGGTGGGGTACACCTATGATCCCAGAGCTCGGGGAGGCTGAGCCAGAGGATCCAAGTTCCAGCCCTGCCTGGGCAACGTAGCAACCCTGCAAGATCTGGACTAAAAAAAATCTTAAAGGCTAGGAATTTAGCTCAGTGCAAAGGCCGGGGCTTCAATCCCCAGCACTACAAAAACAACAAAAAACATCTGAAATCACTGAAGCCATCTACAACTCTAACTTACTTGATTTTCACTTGTTCATACCCACAATCAAACTCAGCCAAATCACCTCCACATGTGGTGTCAAACTGTCCAAATATCTACCCAACGCTGCTGTCATTTAGGAATTTGTTAGACTCTTCTGTGGTGGACTCCATTTCCTGATCTGTCTTCCTTGTTTTACTCTCTCATTTTGCTGAAGCACATCCTCTAGCCGTTTCCAAGAAAGGCTGCATGAGAGAAAAATTCTAAAGATTTTGCATGTCTAAAAATGTATTTATCCTCCCATTGGATTCCTCCTAATTCTGAAGACAGTAAGAGCCAGTGGGTGAGTCACAGCATACATACATCCTCAGCTTGACCAGACCTGGCCACGTGAGCCTCCAAAGTGAGAGGACACAAGTGTGTATCTCCCTGAAGTACTGGAACATTCTCATTGTTGCAGAGAGTGCTCATCACTTGATACTTTCAACATGTTTTCTTTTGAAATGTATCTCATTTTACTCATAGTTCTCTGATTGCTGCAAGTGGATCAGAGTGGCTTGTCACAAAGGCATGGCTCACATTTCCTGTTCTGATTTGTACTTACCCACCGTGCAATTTAGCGGTTTGCTCATCATGTGAGTTTTTTTCACTTTTTGTAGTAATATTTGACACAGGAGTTTTAAATAAAAGGATACTTGCATCTATCAGCCTTTCGGGTTTGGGTTTGGCTGTAGCCAGTTTGTCTGGAAGAGACACCGGGAGATTAGAGACACTGCGAAGTCTGGAGATGGCGTGTGTGATTTGTGTGGGGACAGAGCGCTTGTGCCACCTGGGAGCTCCCTGGAGAAATTCTGGTTCCTGTGACTCGGACAAAGGTGTCTGTATTGTGTTCAGCACTGACTACATAACTCAGGTGCACTCTGATTTGGCGCAGCCGCCTTCAGGATTCTTTGGAGCCAGGCATGGTGGCACACACCTATAATCGCAGCACTCTAAAAGACTGAGGCAGGAGGATCCCATGTTTGGGCCCAGCCTGGGCAACTTAGCAAGACCCTTTTCCCCCATACCCTCCCCCCAAAAGATGAGGGGATACAGCGGAATACAAGGTTCTAGGTACCATCCCCAGAAGGGGGGGGGTGTTTCTTTGGAGTAACTTTGTCCAGGATGGTATCCATAGCTACCTTCTTTTGACTCTTTGTAGCTTTTTTTTCTCACCTGGTAAATTGACTCATTTTTGCTTGGTTCTGTGCGTTTGAATTGTGCATCTTTTGCTTTGCTACCTGGAAGACCATCCACATTTCCCCGGGTCAGTGCCAGGTACCAGAGGGGCCTTCTGTGCTTCCCGAAGAGGCCGGCGGGCTTTCCATCTCCTTCGCTCTGTCCGCAGACCCAGTTTAGTCCACACTGGCTGTGCTGTGGGTATCCTCTCAATTGTTCAGACATTTCTCAGCTTCTGTGTGCCAGCAACCAGCTTCTCTCCCTCACTTTCTCCTCCACTCCTCCACCATCTGACTTCGCCTCACTATCAAGTAGAAAACTGGGAAAGCAGACCGAGGACTGTGGCCTTCGGATCCCTGCAGCCCCCGAGTCCCTGACAGGTCGCCTTTCACACAGGACAGGCCTTGGACAGAGCAGGGAGAAAATGTGTGAACTTCGAACCGCTGTGTCTATGTCTTAGTACCCTGGGAAATCTATTAAAACCCTGGTCAACATCTGTTTCAAACTGACTGAAATCTGTAAGGTAAGGCAGGTAGGAAAACTTCAGGGAGCTCTAAGACTCGGAAAGTCTTGGAAGGGTTTTGTGCCTTTCCAGGTAAACTGCGTACCTTGCTTCAGTGGAGAACTGTGCCTTTACACATACAATTGAGGAGTAAGGAAAAGCAGGTCAACAGTGTAACTTTTTAAAAACTGGTAAATGATAAATCTTTGTTGTGTGTGTGTGTTTATGTTACTGTACGTTGTGTCTGAGGTGTAGTTGGGTTTGTAAACTGTTTACATGGCACCAAATTAGAAATAATGGATCATTCATTAACAAACTCCATTATCTTTCAGTTCCTATGACCTAAGCAAACTTGAAAGGTAAAAGTGACTTCAGACTGTTGACCTATTTTACCTACATTGCTAGCCAATCAGAAGTATTTTAAGTGTCTGAGATACAGCCACTATTGTTTTCTATGTCTAAGTACAGTAATTTTGGGGAGTTTTTTTTTCCCTTTTGGCAAAAGAAATGGCTTGGGACTGACTTGTGTGCTCATCTGATGTTACATATTTTGTGAATAACTTAAAAGTAACTTAAAAATTAATCAGAAATGTGTTAGGTATGAATTCCAGTACTCTTGACCTCCTAAAATCTATGGAAGAAGATAATGTCCTGGGGTCTAAGTGTGCCTCAGATTGTTGGTCTGTGTGTATGTGTGTGTAACCAACAGTTTGCGATGCCCCACCAAGAGAGGTCCAACCCTTTAATCATTTTGCAGGTAACTATTGCAGAGGGGCAGTAAGTATCTAGGAACAAGGACTCCGTCAGAATAGCTTCCTCTAACGTAGGTCAGTTAAGTTAGAGAAGCAGCTTTAATAGTAAGTAGAAGATCATCAAGGCTCATTTCTGCTCTTGTTGCCCGACGGGGCCCAAAGAGGTCCCCTGACAAGGAAAGAGGGAGCTCAGCTCACCCCACCCAGAGCTACAGGTTCGCTGCAGGCCGCGTCATGAGAGGCCTTAGGCCCTCAGGGGAGCACACTTGGCAGGGCGGGGGTTCATGTGCTGTTGGGTCCCCAAGATGGTGCTGGAGGGCTGGAGGCTGTGTCCCTGCCACCTGGGGGCCCTCAGGATGCAGACCCTCTGCAGGGCTCGAAGCTTAGTGATCCCACCAGCTGCACAGTGCTGCTTCCTTGGGGTTAGGTCTGGGAGGAGGATGCTGCCTCAGTTTACCGGAGAGAAGAGCACCCGATTTACAGGCTTAGGGCACCTGTGAGTCCCTTAGGGATTCTCTGGACTCACCAAAAAGGGAAAAAGGCATTGAAACCTTGGGGAACTTTGTATCCTGAAGCCACAGTTCTTTTTTAAAGTACAGTTTTAAAATTAGGATTCTGGGACTGGGGATTTAGTTCAGTGCTTCTGCCGCCTGCTTTACAACCAAAAGGTCCTGAGTTCAGTCCCCAGTACCAAAAAAAAAAAAAGCCCTTAAAACTTCTTAAAGGTCTGGGGATTTAGCTCAGTGGCAATAATAATAATAATAATAATAATAATAATAAAATTAGGATTCTACCTATCTTTACTTTTCCTGTCCTACCTCAATCCTAAATCCACAATGTGCATAAGGGCAGCTACACATTGAATACTTCAGGAATGGCCTCAGAAACCATCTTTCACTTTGCTGACTGGCCTGGGGGTTTTGTGTTCTGATGCTGATAGTTTTAAGAGAGGCTAAAAGGGCTGGGGATTTAGCTCAGTGGTTCTGGTGCCTGCCTTGCAAGCCCAAGGTCCCAAGTTCGATCCCCGGTACAAAAAAAAAATGTCTATACAAGAGAGGCTAAAAGGCCTGACTGCAATAGATAAACAGCTACAGCTTCTCTCTACTTCTTGCTTAGATACTTAGAATGTGCTTTGTAAAATCTTTTTTTTTTTTTTTTTTTTTTAAGGAAAGTCTTGCAAGGTTCAGGTAAAAAAAAAAAAAGATCTTGGGGCTTTTCGTACCCCAAATCTGTCGTATTTATTTTCTGGATTAATATGCAGTGTCTATATCTGCCTATAACATCTTCAGCTAGTCGAAGATACAAATATGAGTCTCAGTTGTCAAAATATTCTTGGAAATACGAGACTCTGTACCAGAGTACACAGTCATAGCCTAAGGTATGGTCTAAGAGGTTATAATTAAGTGCTGTTTAAAACATACTACTGAAATGCTCAGGCTCCAGGCATTTCAAAGTCTTTTTCATATAAAGTTTTATTTTATCCTTTTGGTAAGATAAACTATGATTATATGCAGTATGCCTTATTTTGAAAGTGTAATTGTCCTGGTGTAATCCAGTCGACCACGGTTGTCTTAATGTGCTGTAAAAGTAATTAAACTGTTTTCCAAAACTGCTACTTGTGTGCTGCTTATAATCATTTAGCTGGGAAGAGCCATGTCCCTCTTAGTAAATAAGGGACCATCTTGCTTTATTACAAAAATATATGTTCTTAATTGGTAAACAGGCATTAATGTTTGTCATTTGTCTTCAAAGTTTTTGCAGTTCTGTACCGGGGATTTAGCTCAGTGGCACCTTAACAATAGAACTAACCTTGTTTCACAGACAAATTGACTTCCATTATCTTGGTTACTGCGTTTCTCAGTTAGAACCCAATCCCCTCTTGTTAGTTTGTTTTGGATGCACTTACACATTTTGCAACTATGTTCTGCCCAGTTCTAATGCTTTAAGGGCTGAAGGTCGCCTACTGAATGGGCACTCAAAGAAACTTAGCCTAAGAGCCCCTCTTTCTCAACGGCTTATTATGGCTCAGTTAGGGTAGAAAGGGTTTCTGGCACCTACTCCAGTTGTCTCTCGCGCCCCTGCCACTTCGGGAGCTGATGTGGTGACCAGGAGTTATCTCAGCAACCACGGACAACGCCCCACCCACCCACCCGGTGCACTCAGAGACGCAGGGGCCGAGGCAGTGGTGCCAGCCTCACTGACCTGCAAGCACCAGATGACCTTGAACTCACTATGTAGGCCAGGCTGCCCTCAAACTCACCGAGATCCTCCTGCCTCAGCCTCCTGAGTGCTGAAATTACATCCATGTACCACCACGACCAGCTCACTGTTGTTTTTATGGGCTTAAAAAGGAAAACAATCCATCTAATCAGGAGATTGTGAAAAACTCAGAGGCACTGGGTAACCTCCCGCCCCTGCCCTCCCTGCGTGTGTGAGCTCTCCGGCCCTCGGTGCACACTGTCTGAGACACTCGGGTCTCTGCTGGCGTCAGCAAGCTTAGCAGCCGGTCTCGGGACTGTCTCACCACGCAGATGCAAGGCTGTGTGGACCGCTCCTCCCCAGTACCGTCCTTCCTCCTATGGTCCACACATTTTGTTTCTGGGCAACTTCTCGTTTTACTCTTTTGCTACCGGAGACAGCAGCCCAAGGTGACCGGGCTGTCCTGGTCCCTGCCCTTCCTTCACTCCTTCGCGCCTCATCCTGCTGGGCACCCGGAAATAAACCCAGCCTCCTTTCATTCTGCATCTGGAAACAGTTTCATTTTTTAAAAACGCCTCAGCTGGGCGCGGTGGCGCACACCTGTCGTCCCGGCACTCCGGGAGGCTGAGGCAGGAGGATCAAAATCACGCAGCCACCGTGGAAAGTGGCACGGCGGTCCCCAAAGCCTAAGCACAGAGCTGTCGCCGATCAAATGACCGTGCTGCACACCCAAGTGTTTACCCACAGCACAAAGCAGGGCCGCGCAGACGCCTGCAGCATCCCCAAGGACCACAGGCGCCGGCGGATGAATAAACAGGGAAATTCCTGCCGCGCTGCTCCGCGAGGGGACCCTGAACGTCCTCAGCCTCAGAGCCGCAGATGATGCGCGACTGCGCCTCTGCGGATCTCAGAGAGCCACAGCAGAGCGGGGTCGCCGGCGAGGGCCAGGGGCTGCTGCTTGGCGGGCTCAGTTCCAGCCTTGCAAGACGCGGGGTGCTGGGGGAGACCGATGACCGTGCACGTGAGGTGGGCGCAGCAGCCTGAGCTGAGCTGTGCCCGAAGTGGCTGGGGCGGTGCGTTTCGTGACTCTCCACCATTTGGAGAGAAGGCCGAGGCAGCGGGACTTCGCCTCAGGCCTGGCACTCACACCATCGTGGGCGGTTCTGCAGCGGTGCGCTGAGAGGATCCACTCAAGGCCACTCGCCTGACAGCTCTGCGCACCCCAAGGACAGGAGGGGCAGCTCAGGGCCCAGGCGGCGCGGGCAGCCCCCGGCCAGGGCGCGCGGCGCGGGGAGCCCTGTCCCAGGCCGGGGAAACCGCTCGCGAGGCTGCCGTCCCCGCCGCGCCCCGGCCCGCCCTCCGCTCCGGTTCCCCGCGGGTGGCGCCGGCCCAGGGAGGGGCCCGCTCACCCTTCCCCCTGGTGACCATGGAGACGAGCGGCGCCCGCGGGCGGTCGCTGAACACCTCGGCCTGCTGCACCAGCGCGTCGCGCACGCTGCGGAAGTCGCTGAGCACCACGACGCGCTGCGGGCCCACGAAGAGGCTGAATACGCTGCCGAACTCGCGCGCCAGCCCGGCCAGCTGCGCCTGCGGGCCCCTCGCCGTGCCCCAGCCTCCCCGCCGCAGGCAGCGCGGCAGCAGCGAGGGGCCCAGGTTGCCCACGAGCGGCCAGGGTGCGGGCCCGGGGGGGACCCCGCGCGCCCCGCGTCCCCGCAGCCAGCCGCGGCCCAGCAGCGCGCCCAGGGCGCAGAGCAGCAGCAGCGCGCACGCGGGCTGCGGGGTCCAGGGCGCGTCCCCCGCGGGGGCGGCGGCGGGAGGGGGCCCCGGAGCGGACATGCTCGGCGGGGACAGCTATTGGGACGGGACCGGCGCGCGCGCACTCGGCCCGC